ATTGTGGGCATAAAACACATAAATTAAAAATGTTTAAATGTTTCAAATACAAAAAAACCCTAAAAATAAATTTGGATAAGTACTAATGAAAATATAGCCTTTTTAAACTTTTTCATGGTAGAAAAGGAAGCTGCTGTTCATATTAGTGATTAACAGTAACAACAGCTTTTTGACAAGTTTAAAATTTCTTTAAAATATATTAAAAAATAATTTGAGAAAGTGCAAATTAAAATATAGCTGCATCTGCAACTGTATTTGATAATGTTTTGAAGTTTTATAATACGACATGATAGAACCAGAAGCTATACTTCATATTAGTGACAAACTGTGGCCTTTTTTGACGAGTTACTTTCTGCTTTTGCCTTCTACTTTTCATTTAAAATAAGTTTCCATTTTTGGTAGGTATATATCTAAGGTTCTTTTTTCTACGTATTAAAAAAGTTGTTGAACATCTGAGTGGTGCACTACCGCTACTAGTGGTGAGAAAGTGTATTGCACCTTCTTCATGTTGAACCCAACTGTGGTCCTGCAGCCCTTTGCGGCCTAAACTGTTGTTCTTTTGAGGCCCTCACGGTGGCGCTCGTGGGCCGCGGCCCATAGGTTAAGAATCTTTGGACTAGATTTAACTGCTTGGTTAGCTTGTTTGCTAGTCATAAGCATTATAATACTCTTGAAGTACCCCTTWAGTGCATTTTACAAGATTGGTAGAATGGCACCCACTCATTCAAATCAAGTTGTTTGGAGCAGAGAAACCTCTAAAACAAAACCTTGATGTACATGCAGTCAGATTTAGARAGCTTTTTTTGTTGTTGTTGTTACAGTTTTTCATGAAGGCAACCCAACTGGAACAAATGAGAGTGGACTTCCTTCACATAAAAGCCACAAAGAATTTCACAGAGGAAAAAGTTGAGCAAAACAGCGAGGTATGGACAAGTTTCACTCGCTGATTGATATTCAGCTAGACTTGAGAAAAATTCAACCTACAGTTTGAAATGATCTCTACGTACACTGCTCGTTTTAGTGCTTGAAAGACATAAAACGAAAGTACCTGGAAAAAGAAGAGCGTTACAAGAACTTGGCATCAATTGGTGAAATGCAGACAAAACTGGAGGATTTACAGAAGCAAATGGCTTGGGCATTGGTCAGTATTCAGTGTGCCAGCATGGTTTCTATGAAACTGATGTACCACATAACATTACTGACATGGTTCTGAGTGTGAAAACAAACGTTTCAGGTGMTTGAAAAGGAAAGAGAGTTGAAGCCAATGAGAGAGAAGCTGCAGGCAGACAGGCGTTCAACAGAAAAATTTGATGAAAAGGTGGATGAATGGAAGGTGAGTTGTTGTTGTTTTTGTAACAGTAATTGGATGTCTGTCGTGTAAGGTGGTTCTTTTTATTTTTCTTTTTTTACTCTAATCAGGTGTGTGTGTGTTTTTATATAACCAATAATTATAGCTACCGTATTTTCCATATTATAAGTTGCATGAGTCAAAAAATCAGTCTCGTTTAGAAATTTCATTTACAAAGTCTAAGAACAAACATTTAATTTGGAATAACAATAGCACACAGAGCATACCTGAGATGCTAAATAGCCTTAAATAACGTAACAAGCCAGCGAGTCCAACAAGCAAATTACCAGTAAATTCACCATCTTATTCCAAATCCTGTGATCTGCTTTTCACTACTCCCTCACAAGTTTCTCATTCACTCCAAACTTTTTTCCCCTGATGCTCGATTACCATTTGGTGCTGCATTTTTTTTTTTAATTAACCAGTACAGGAGCAACATAAACTGTAGTTGTCACAAGCCTACAAAGCCTACAGCGCCCTCTAATGGTTGCAGACGGTAATGTTTACTCTTTGGTTCATGTCAGTCAGTGTGAACTAACATTTAACAAATCAGTCAAAAAAAAGGTGTTATTGAAAAACATTTATGTCACACCTGACTATAAATTGCACAATCAGCCAAACTTAAAAAATAAGCGTGACTCATAGTCCAGAAAATACGGTAATTCAAAGCATTTTTGTTGTTTGTTTTTTGCGTGCAGCCCTGCTGTTTTAGCGAACCTTTAATTACACACTTGTTTACTTTTCAATGTTGCAGAATAAGGTTCAGGAAGCGGAGAAGAAGTACAAAGAGATTCAGGAGCAGTTGGAGGAAATAACTCGGCAAGTCCAGGTGCTTCAACCCAAATCGGCCGAACTTAAGACTGAGGCCCAGAAGCGCAACAGCCTTTTCAAGTCCTGTGAGGTCAGAGTGCAGAAAGCATGGTCTCATATGGTCCTATTTTGTATTTTCTTTTGTTGAGGGATGTATACCAGAATGTTTTAATTATGAATTTGTTTGTTGTTTAGTAGAGAGATTCTTTTCACTTTAATACTTGATGTACATTTTTGTAAACGACTAAAGACGAAATAATTTGTGTGGACTCCAGCTGACGGTCCATAGGTGCAGAACAAACCTTAGGGACCTGGAAAAGGACAAAGTTCAGCTGTCCTCACGCATCAAAGATCTCAACCTGAGGTAGGACGTTATGTTGCTGTTCTGTTTAAGATGAGTCACATCGTACCGTCTGCCCAGTGCTTTTATTTTTAAACACTTCTTTGTTTCCCTTTAGCATCAGTCAGACAACAGGTGCAGAGAGCCAGGCTAGGGCCGAGCGTGCGGAGGAGATTCAGGCTGAGCTGCAAAGCCTGGAACATCAGATTTCCACTCTAGGCCAGCAGATTGACCAGTTTCAACACGCCTGCAGCCGAGCCAAAGAAGAGCAAGGAAGGATGAAGTACGCAAAATGAACACTAAAGAGCAAGCAGTAATCAGAACTATTACATGTTGATTCATTGGTAGCTTTAAAACATTTCTGCCAGCTCTAATATTATGTTCGTGTAAAGAGTATTTTTTTTTTTTTGTTCACTTGAGTAAGACAGAAATGTGAGTCCAAACCTAATTCAGGAGAGACTGACTCGTTTATTAACAAACATTTGAATAAAAAATGTTTGAAATGGTGAAYGTTTGCATCATAAATACACCTGTTTTTTGTTGCATCTCCAGAAAAGAGCTTGAAGAGCTCCAGAAATCCATCGATGGCAACAAAAGGAAAGTGCAGACGATGGAGAGCAGCCGCTCAAACCGACTTCGACGTTTCGGAGAGCACATGCCTGCGCTGCTCAACGCCATCCAGGAAGCTCACAGAAGGGGCCAGTTCAAGCACAGACCCCGAGGACCTCTGGGTAAAACTTTGTTTCGAGATTTTGACTCCTTTTTTAAAACTAAAATAGGTTAACGRAACACTGAGATTTGTGACTAATATAATATAAAATGCATGTTTTAAACTGACCTCCTCCAGGTTACCTTATTAGTCTGAAGGACCCTGAGCTGGCCCTGGCTGTGGAAGTGTGTCTTAAAAGCCTCATGAGAGCTTTCACCTGCGACAACTACGAAGACGAGAGGGTGCTGAAGGACCTCATGGTCAGATATTTTCCCAGTGGCCACAGGCCGACCATCATTACCAGCAGCTTCCTTCCACATGTCCATGACACAAGGAGGAGGTGAAAACATTAACACTGAGGGGCGGAGCTACACTGGTTTGCATGGGGTGGCACAAGGGTTGCCAAGTTTTTTTTTTTTTAGGGAGATGCATACAAATAAATAAAACTAGTCATAAAATTCAAGATGGCCTCCACAGCTAACTTCGAAATGCCACATGCAAACCCCACACCACTTGTCAGTCATTTGAGGGTGGCCAATCAGGGGTACCCCTCTGGCTCCACACCTGTTTGAATTTAGGCAGCACTTACTTATTTTATCCATCGTTTAATTTGTAATTTTTAATTTGTTTGTGTTCAGATTATTTGCAACRAGCATTTTTTTATTATTCCTTTGAGCAAAATGCCTCTGATAGGATGACATCGTATTAGTGACATTTTTTGTTAACGCTCTTTTTCGCATCATTTGTAACTGATTTGTCTCTCTCGTCAGGGCTGTGAGTCATCCTGAATATCCCTCTGTGCTTCAAGCTCTAGAGATCGAGGACCCAGTCGTGGCGAACTGCCTCATCGATCAGAGGGGCATCGAAAGCATTCTGCTCATTAAGGTGAGCAAATCACAGGTTGTTGTTTTCACTGTAAACTTTATCTGGTGGCTCATTTGGTATAGATGTTACCTCTCAGCAAGAAGGTTGCCGAATCGAATCCCAAATGCCAGATCAATAAATACCTCATCGACGGTTTAAGTGAAATTTCTTAAATATAATCTTTAGGGATTATTTTTTGAAGCCCTTTTTTGAGCAGTAGCTACCAAAAATGTGATTTTTGAGCAAAAAAAGTCTTAAAATTTTGTCTTTCCCTGCAGCCTAACAAAGTTTTTTTTCCAGCTGGCAAATCTTATTATACAAATATTATGTACGGTTTCCTTTGAAAAATTACAAAACAATTAACATTAGAATAGCCTAAAAATTAGATTCAAACCAAAAAATGAACGAGTTATCCTGACTATGAAGACAAATGCAGTAGGGCTGCAACTAACGGTTATTTTAATAATCGATTAATCGGTTGATTATTTTTTCTATTAATCAATTAATCGGCCAAATCATTAAAACGCTTAATTACATGAATATGAGTAGATATAAATTAAGTTAACTCCTTAAGGATGCAAGTTATTGATAATGAATTAATCTGAAGTTGATTTATCTTATAGATTGATTAACAATTAATTAATAAGCAGCCATTTTTTAAAAACCTGGAGTTTTCTCTTGAATCAAGAGGGTCTTCCCATAATATCAAGGATTTTTTTGAATAATCTCCTGAATTAAAAAACAAAAGCACATAATACATATTTTAAC